CGCTCTTCCCCTTTCTGTGGGTGCTGGGGGGATCTCTGAGCCCCGCCGTGGAGTGGAGGAGGTGGGAGGGAGTTGTTGTGGAGTCTCTGCTTGGGAGCTGGCACAGTGTTGCTGGGGTCTTCTTTGAAAAGTGGGAGAGATGTGAGGGAGCAGAAGCTGAATGGAGGGTTCCTGTTCTCTGAGCAGAGCGCAGGCGTTCGCGGTCCACCTCACGAGAGAGGGAGAGGAGGCGAAGAGAGCGATCCCGGTCCCGGGATAGGGACAGGAGGAGAAGCCGTTCTCGCTCTCCGCACAGGAGACGATCCAGGTGAGGGGTAGAAATGGCAACGCCGGGGTGGGGATGAGCTGGAGAGCCTGGGCGAGGCGTGGTTCGGGTGGTACGGGGGCAGTGGGAACTCGTTAACGCTGTAAAACTGGTAACGGCACAGCCGGGAAGCTGCAAACCCGCCTGCGTTTGCAACGTCAGGTCACCGAGACGGCACCGATCCAGCTCCTCTTCCCCGCCGCGGCTGAAGGAAAGGCGAGATGAAGAGAAGAAGGAGATAAAGGACTCCAAAGGCAAAGAGCGTCAGATCACGGGTGAGCAGGGGGGAATTTTCAATTTTCCTCGTTAAATACCTCTGCGGCGCTGAATTCCCCACTCGGGTTGGGATCAGCGTGACACCCGGGTCCTTATTTAAAATGTTTTTGGCGAAACACAACGGCAGCATTTGTGGAACTCTTTATTATTTTTTTTTGTTGCTTTGGCAGAGGAAGATTTGCAGGGCAAGACAGAAGAAGAAATTGAGATGATGAAAATGATGGGCTTTGCCTCTTTCGACACGACGAAAGTGAGTGCGGATCTGTGCAGTGGAGCCCACAGCTGCTTCCTGCCGGCCTTTTCTGGGGATAATATGCTGAGGTTTGGGACTTTTCCTTAATGTCTTTCAGGGGAAGAAGGTGGACGGCGCCGCAAACGCCTACGCCATCAATGTGTCCCAGAAGAGGAAGTACAGGTTTGTGCCCAGCCTTTTTTTTGGGGGAGGTAGAAAGATAGTTTCTTTGATGAGATAACGCAGCGCAGAGGAAACTGCGGCCGTACATCGAAGCTGCCGTCTCTCGGCATGCATTGGGGGCCGATCCAGGTTCTCGGGTCTTTGGAAAAAGGCAAAGTTTGCGTTTTTTACTGTCAAACCGAGGTCAGAGGCCTCTGTTTTCTCCTGGAAATGGTGAAAGGAGAGAGATGAGCAGCAAAAGAGCAAGTTTTTTTTTCTGGTGGGTCATCCCTGAGCGGGTCAGAGCAGCAGGCCTGCGTGAGCAGCGCTGTTTGCCCATTTCTTACCCCAAAAAAACCCACTTAGTTCATCGATTCTGTTTCCTTTTTGATGCAAAATGGAGCGTACGGCCAGGCTGCGCTGCGTCATTTCTCTCCTGTGCCTCAAACAGCCGAGCCTATGCGAGACGCCTCCTCGGTGGGAGAATTTGGGCAAATCCACGCGGAATTCGAAGCCCCCGCGGCCGCCGAGTGCCGTTACGGGACTCTCTCGGGTATTTTTGGGTGGATTTCTTCCGAGCCGGGAGCCTGACGCTGGTTCCTTCCCTCCGGCTGCAGGCAGTACATGAACAGAAAAGGAGGATTCAACAGACCCCTGGATTTCATCGCCTGACGCTGCGCTCGCTTGTGTGGGGGAGAACCCCACAGCCGAGAAAGACTTCGCTTCCCGGGAGAGCGGATTTCAGAGGAATTTGGGTTATTCCTGGCAAATCCTGCCCCGCGGCCGCAGCGGGTACGAGTCGCCGTGTCCCAGAGTCTTTTGTTTATTATTATACTTTAATTTTTTTTTTTGTTGTTTACAATATCCCTCGTGGTTCGTTCCTCGCTGGGATTTCGTTGTGTTTTTCCTGTTGTTGTTGGGTGGGGTTTTTTTTTGCCACGGTGTTTGTTCCCTGTTACAATAAAACCCTGTATATATTTTTTTCCTTTTATTTTTATAATTCAGGAATAACGTGCGGGCGAGGAGCCTGCCGCAAACCTCCGATTGCTTCCCTCAGCTGCCGCACGGCGCGGGGAACTTACACCCCAAAACACTTTGATTCCCATGTCACACAAATACATATAAATTTATACAAATAAAATTAAAAAGCGCGTGACGGCAGCGGCGCCCGTTTGGGGCCTTTTATTGCAGAAAACCACTTTTTTTGCTTGTTTTTTGCCAGTCGGGCTGGGCATTTTCTGACAGGGAGGTCATCCGCTCGCCTCGTGGCTTCCGTCTTTTGCTAATTAACACCTTTTGCTAATTAACGCCCGGCTCGCCCCTGGTGGGGG